ATGTCCTACTACAACATATGTATTCTATATTATTAAGACATTGTCCTGACTTTTTTCTCGATATGTTAAAAGACATTCAGAATATTTTTATTTAAACGATTCAAATATCTTGTTTTATGAGTATTTTAGTCACATTTCTTATTTTATATATTTTTTATTTTAAATTTTATAATACAACAATAAATGGCGTTCCTCCTTCCGTTACTGCTTCTTCCCTTACGTTAGGTAATGTAGAATACAAATGTTGTGATAGGATACGATAATCGGTAGGACACACGCTAAAGCAGCACCATTTCTGGTCTTAGGTCTCTGGTTGGGACCTGGAAGGAAATGTATATACGACAGAAATAAAAAGAAATAATAATAATAATAATAATAATAATAAAATACAAAATCTATTCTCAAAAGCAGAACTTGCGCATTACGAAGAACGTTATTTTTGTAAAATGTGCGTGATCTTTTTTTTTTTTTTTTTTTTTTTTACAAAAATGATCAGTGGAAAAAGACATAAAGCTCTTGGTTCCTATCAGTTTTTGCTTTAGCGTGTGTCCTACCATCACATATGTATCCTGCATTATTAAGACAGTGTCCCGACTTTTTTCTCGAGGTTAAAAGAATTCATAGTACCTTTTATTTATATGATTCAAATACAGCGTAACCCGGATATAAGAGAGTTGTCGGGACCGGAGAAGAAGTCTCTTATATCCGGGTTTCTCTTATATCCGTGTTTGGTCTAATTTATATACATTAACACAGGCTCTAATTTGAGACCAGAGAAAATCTCTCTTATATCCGGGTTTCTCTTATATCCGGGTTACACTATATCTTGTTTTATGAGTATTTTAGTCACATTTCTTATTTTATAAATTTTTTTTCATTTTAAATTTTATAGTACAACAATAAATGGCATCCCTCCTTCCGTTTCTGCTTCTTCCCTTACGTTCGATAATGTACGATACAAATGTGGTGATACGATAATCGGTAGGACACACAATAAAGCGGCACCATTTCTGGCCTTAGGTCTCTGGTTGGGACCTGGAAGGAAATGTATATACGACAGATAAAAAAGAAATAATAATAATAATAATAATATATATATATATATATATATATATATATATATATATATATATATATATATATATATATATATATATACATATAAGGTCTCCATAAAGTTCGTGTGCACTTTAAAAAATTTATAACTTTATTTGTATTTGCGATAGAAATAATCTGTAAAGAATGTTATAAAGTTTAATGTACTTAGTTTTAAGTATAGCTAAAATAACTAATGTGATTTCAGGCATTACTGTAAATCAGCTGGCAAATGTTTTCCGTGAACTGCAAAATAGTATTACCCTTTGTATTACTAATGATGGAGGACATGTGGAAACTTAAATAAAATTTCGATAAAACCTTAAAAATTACTTCTTTCTAATCCTTTTTACAAATTATTTCTATCGCAAATACAAATAAAGTTATAAATGTTTTAAAGTGCATACGAACTTTATGGACACCTATATATATATATATATATATATATATATATATATATATATATATATATATATATATATATATATATATATATATATATATATATATATATATATTAGGTTAGGTTGGAAAGAAAGTCCTGTTGCATTATTTATATAATCACTTTGAGAGTATTTACTTTTGCAATATTTACGATAAAATAACCATTAATTTTTATGTTCTAGTATTTTTTTTTTTACTTTCTTTGAAGGTTATGTATTATCAGAGTGGGTAAATGTTCCGTGTGAATTTCTGGAACGGGATATTGTTCTCGCCTTTGTTGCGATTATTATATTGTTTAAATAGCATAGGGGATTAATGCGTTGCTTTGTGATTTTACCGACACAGACATTGTAAGTTCAATCCCTGGGCCGGATCTTGCAGACTTAGGCTCAGCGGAAACAGGAAGAGCAATAAGTGAACAGTATCAAATAAGAACTTGATATTCTTGGACAGCGAACAAGTACAATCTACCGCCGTAGATTAAACAATGAGTTCTGTTCCAAATTAGAGGAACATTGAACGGATGAACAGACTCCTAAAGAAGGCCCAGTCCTATAGTGACCAAAACATTGTAACAATAATGATGAGGGCAATACTTTGAAGAATAGGTAAATTTTTATTTTTTTAAAGAATTTAGATCAGGTCCATATAAAAAACTAAGCATTGCATGAACTAAAAAAAAAAACTACTCTTCAACAACGGAGGTGGAAATAAACATTCATACTCTCTACGAAAATTAACGATGTTTTGTACAGTTTCGATCCTGAAATATTTCTCTTGGAGATTCTTCTTGATTTGAACGACCAAGTTCTATCATTGACGAGTAAAATCCTCGGCAAGGCACACGCAATTTTTTTTATAATGAGGTTCACCCTGGACAAGACCCGGATCCATTCGTGGTTGAAGGCTACAGAGTAAGAGGCACAGTTTATGCGGATATGTGGCGAAGATAACGGCTAACTCTAGACTTGAACAGACTTAGATTGTTGTGATCAGGGAAACATCCTCTTGGGAGTCGGTTGCATAGAGCAGTGGTTTGTGGAAAGAAGCTGTTCGAATGGACTTACTTCTCACAAATAGAATAGGGGGGTGTTGATGGTTTGCTACAATGTGGATGGTATTGTGGGTCGTAGATGTTAAGGTTAAAATTGCCGGAACCAAAGAATGCCGTTCGTCCGAGCATTTTCCATGGAAATAGCGATAGAACAGGTAGAGGCTTGTTACATTCTGTTGGTTCATTGCTAGAAATTTTTTATCACCAGAGACTATCATTCAAAAGTCTACCATTCGTCTCTACATTGAATATTGCTGTCACATACAAAGAACAATATGCAATTTTATTGGTCCTGACTTTTGTTCTGATGAGCTTTCCTCTTTGGTATCTAAACCTTATGAATGTAAGCATGCTTCTAGATTGGCAGCAAGGTCTCATTATCTTAGAGTTGAAATGGGTAGACGTAACCGCAAATTCCATGTTATTCTATATTATCCGTTTCTTCTCTATCACTTCCCGTTTATGGTATTCTCTTTTGGCTTCTTGCTTCGCAGTCAACTTTAATCTTCAAAAATTTAAATGCAACATCAATCGTTATTTTCTGTCTTCTTAATTTCTGTTCCTTTATTGTTCTTCCTCGTTAATAATGTTTTCTTTTTCTTATATTCTCTCACACTCAGTAACATCTTGCGTCTTAGTGACTTTATTGCGTTGCTCGGAGTGAAATGATTAAAAAGAACGTATCAATTAAAAGCAAAGAAATATCCATTTATTTCCAACGTTCGAATGCAGCGGGACTCTCCAACCTAATATGTACTTTTTAGATATACATAAAAAAAATTCAACACACAATTTATTATTTAGAAAACTGTTTAAATGAGGGAAAAATATACAAACAAACAAAATTCGCACATACATGTTTAGTATATTTGTAATTATTTACAAACCCGCATGCTTATATAACACTTATATGCATGCATAAGCTAACGTTACTTAATGTTCTTTTGTGATATTTTGAAAAGAGAAAGGCAAATTGAAAAATATCTACAACCGGAAATACATTTCTACGCATGTACAAGAAACTTCCTTTTTCTGTTAATCTCCCTCTCTCTCTCTTTTTTTTTTCAGCAATTTATCTTAATCATTTTCCGAATAAACCCGTTACTTCAATGTGACCTGTATATAGAATTGTAAGCCGTATAAACATGATAATATCAAACAAGAAAATATTGAAATGCATTAAAAATTAAAGAAAGGAATAACTGTGTTAAGTGTAACTCCTCAATATTTTTTTTTCTCTTCAATTTCTCCGCTCAGTTCTAAAATATCCACGGTTTTCGTTTATTTGTTTTTATTTTTATTTACTTAATTTTATTTATTTATATTTTTTTTTAATAAATAGCTGTAGAATCAAATTTTGTTTCGGTCGCTCGAGTCATGGTCATAGTTTTTTTTCCGTCTTAAAATTTTTCTAAGCAAGTTTTGAACTCCACCGATTATCATCGTTTCGTCCTTTTTCTGTGTGTATGTTTGTGTGTAAGATCAAGAGGAAATTGATAGAAAAGAAACGAAAAAAACAGGCAGAAGTCAAATAAGTGAATGGTTAGCGGAACGAGTACAAAGGGAAATATAATGAATAAAAGACAAAAACAAAAACTGATAACGATGACAAGCGTAGGGAAATCGGTTGTAGCTAAGTAAAAGATGAATTTAAAAAAAAATAAAGAAGAAATATGGGTGACAGAGATAAGTTTAACGGAGGCAGAAAATTACCGAAGGAAGGAACAAAATTTAAAAAAGCTGAGAAAAGGGATAAATGAGTGAAAAATAAGGATTTTAAAAAAAAAAGTTACAGATAGAAAATGAGTAAGAAAATACAGTTCAGCATGGGAGAAGTGGTTAACGAATCAAGTCAGGTTGACCATTACTACTGAGTAGTGGGTCTTGACATGTAAAATCAACCAATCAGCAAGAGCAAGAAAAGCGGGAGGTAAAGTGATAGAGTGTAAGTAAGAGGAAACAAACCGATAAATAGAAAGAATGAGTGTAAGAAAAGAGTAAGGAAACCGATAGAGTATAAGATAGAATAAGTTTGAGAAAAGGATGAGTGAATGGATAAAGAGACAGAATGAGAGAGAGAGAGAGAGAGAGAGAGAGAGAGAGAGAGAGAGAGAGAGAGGAACAGATAGATAGGATGAGAGTAAGAAAAGAGAGTGGTAATAGATAGAACGATAGATAGAATAAGAGTCAGAAATGAGTAAGGTAAGGGAAAAGGCGAGGGATAGAAGGAAAGTCAGATATGAGATAAAATATAGACAGCATGAGAGTTAGAAAAGAGTGAGGTCATAGAGTGACAGATAGAACGAGAGTTAGAAATGAGTGGAGTAATAGATAGAGTGACAGAGAGAACGAGGGTTGAAAAAAGTGTGGTAATATGTAGAACGAAAGGGAGAATGAGAAAAAGAAA